ATGCAGAAATGAGTATTTGTGGGCAGTTAGTACTCTCTGCCATGGTCCAGATTTTGCCTACCCCATTTACACCCCTCTTCTGTTCAGTTAGAATTTAATTTGATTCCAAGTATCAGAAAACCTAGAATGACACAGAAGAAAAAGACAATCCAGGCTGAAAGGTGGCCACACTGGGCCTCAGCGACCCTAGCTCCCTCTGACTCTCTGCTCCAGCATCTTCAGGTGTGACTTTTGATTTTATGGTCCAATAAAGCTGCTGGAGCATAGTCCAGGTAGCAGCAAGGAAGTTGGAAGGAAGGAATAAGGTCAAGTTCCTTCCTTTAAAGCCAGCTTCCTAGAAATTAGTGGCCTGAACCCACCTTACTGTGAGAAAGGCTGGGGTGGAAGGAATGTAGCCTTCGAGTCAAGCACCTGTATATCCAGTTAAAAATAGAGTATCTATTCATTTGAGAGAGAAGGGAAGAATGGCCAATCCATCTGTGTCATGTTTGATCTCCTCCAAAGAGACCATAAGCTTGTTCAGTAGAGCAGGTCCATGACTAAAATCCATTTTTCTATGTCTCTCCATGCTTTTGCTTCGATATTCATTAATGAAACTACGCTTTTAAGGTGCAAAGCTGTATGGCAGACCCAGGGGCAACGAGAACAGTGGGCCAAGCGCCTACCCTCACTGAGCTCTCAGCCTCATGAGGGAACAGAGACGGGAGTAGACGAGGAGAACGAAGGGTCAGCGTTGTTCACAGAGAGGTCCCACCCACCCCGGGGGCAGGCAGGAGAGTGACGAGGGAACCAGTTTTGCTCAACACACAGCAGACATGGCGAATCTAAGCGACTATGTCAACAATCAGGGAGTTGGAGGCCAATGGCCCATGAGTAGGTGAAAGTGAGAATAACTAATGCTTCCAGGAACAACCTGGACGCAGGAGATCGTGGACATGATCCAGAATGACGGGGACGTGCAGAAGTGCCAGCGGGCCAACACCTTCGACCGGCACCCCTTCATCGAGTGGACGCTGCCCCCGCCTCTCAACTCAGGTACGTTCACCAGCGGGGCCCACGAGGTTGTAACCGTGTGGGTCAGTTCTCGCCTCAGAGGAGAATCATCGCTCCAGCCAGCCCTCTAGAAAATAGCTCCAAATGACACCGGAAAGGAGTTTGAAGGAGTCTCAGGTTTAAAGAGCTGGGGACAAAAAGACTTCCAAATTCCTTTTCTAAGTCATGACTGGCGACATCAGACAGCATACTCCTTACTGTCGCTTGAGTGACGAAAAGTGAAGAGTGGTGAGAGCAGGAGGAGGACCCACAGCACCCAGTGATTAAGAACCGCGCTGCATCACTATTGCTACTAGGCTACAGAGATTTGTCATCAAATACATTTTACCTATAACCTACCAAGAAATGAAGCTAAGTGTCAGATAGGATCGTATCAGCAAACGATATGCTTTATGTTAAATGTATTTAGAGGGATGACATGAACAGCACTGTTGAGGAGTCTGTAATCAAGGACTTTTTTAGTAAATAGTAACACATTTTGCAACAAGAGACAACTCCATGGTGAGAAGGCATAGACTTTGGAATCATACAGCGCAGTTCCAAATGCTGTTCCGCATTCTTATCTGGGTAACCTTGAGCAACTTATTAATCATTTATAGACTAATTATACCTAATATGTATTGAACAACTATTATCAATTGACTCAATTAGCCCAGGAAAACTTGTTGAAAGGGTAACTTTTCTTTTATTTAATTGCCTTGGCCCCTTTGCCAAAATCAACTAAAGATATATGTATGTATGAATATATTTCCAGATTTTCTGTTCTGTTTCTTTTTACTATGTAAATATCTCTGTGTCAGGGCCATGCCATTTTAGCTCTATAATAGGTTTTAAAGGCATAGCTTTTCAAATCTACCACTTCTGCTTTACCCAACGGTGTGGTGTTTGGCTAGATTCCAGCCTGTATCCAGTATTTTAGCTTTAGCATTGGAATCTTGTGTCCAGGCATGGTTACACCCCTTCTTTATCTAAGCCTTCCTTGTCTCTCTCCTGTTTTCTCCAAGGCCTCTCTCTCTCTCTGGCTCTTCGCACCCAAAGACCAGTTGATCTATAACCCTGGCTCTCACCTTCATGACTTGCAATAAGGACTTGATCACCCTAAGGCTCGGTTTTCGTCTAGAAATATAGCCTCGCCAAAAGCACGGTGCTCACACGTTACTGCTGGCTGCTGTGCTCCTCAGTCTTGAAGTAAGAGCTGGAAGGAAGACGGAAGCTCCTTAGGCAGAGCTGCTGGGACTGTGGGTCTGCTCCGACAGCCCCTCTCCTGAGCGGGTGCCAGCTCTCTTCCAGTGGCTTTCCTCTACTCCCCATTGCAGTCACGGAAAACCAACAGACAAAACAACCCAGGATGCGTTTGGGTCATAGTTGTCCCCAACCTCAAACCGCCCAAAGAATCTTTATCTGCCCACACCTGCACACAGCAATACCCAACAAATGAGGGAAGTAACACTGCCCAGAGGTCTGCGAGACCGCATTAGCACTTGCCTCTGCCAGAATGAGCAGTCAAGTTCTCAGGAAGAAGGCCCAGCAGATGGCACAGTGGCTATGTCGCTGGACTCCCACATGGCCAAACACAATTCGAGTCCTGGACCCGGTGGCTTGAAAATCACACTGAGCCCATGTGCGTACATGCCCAAGATCCCAGGAGGAGAATGGAAGAGGCCATCTGTGCTGGAGGGGGGAGGATTTCTCACTTTCCCTGTCACTATGTCTGTCTGTCTGTTTCTCTCTGTTAAGCACATGTGCCCTAAGGCACAAAAAAAATAAATAAATAAAAAGCAGTCATCAGGAAGAAAGCATAGACTTGTAAACCCATCATGTTAGGTGAGGAGCCTAACTCGGCTAATCTGGTTCCTGATGTGGCACACAACGGAGACACTGAGTCCGTGTAGTGATGAGAGATGTTCACCTGAACGGCGTGCCTTGTTTCCCAGGTCTGGATCTGGCTAAGAAAATGCCCCCTCCTAGAACTCTGAAGACTCACCTGCCTGTGCAGTTGCTGCCGCCTTCCTTCTGGAAAGAAAACTCAAAGGTAAGAAAAGCCATCTCTCCTAACCCGGTTTGGATCGTATGGCCGAAGCACGACCTGCAGAAACAATGAGACGGAAAGGGAAAGCCAGCAGAATTACGGGGCGGAAACCGTGGTACCTCAATCCCACACCCACGCTAGATCTGCCTTTCCTTGGAATCTCACCTCTGGGTACACAGAGAGAAGTTTTCAGACAAATCATTCTGAATGTCTGCCAGTAAGCCATGTTGAAAGAGAGCGATCCACGAAGCAAAGCAGGCATTTCCTGGAGAAAGCCGGTATCTCAGTTTGGGTCATCAAAAAGTGGAGTTAGACCAGAAAAGCATCTATTTTGGGAAAAAGCTGTGAGAGGAATGTGGAGCAAGACAAGGGTGCAGAGAGCCTCAGACCCCGATGCAGATGCAGCCCCTGTGCTGGAGAGGCTGGGAAGGGGGACTGGAGACAGACAACGTTCAGTCCAGCTGACGGGCTCCTTCACCCGGAGTCAGCCGGTAAGCGCCACAGCTCACGGGCCAGGCCTGCCTTCACGTTCCTGCTGTACCCTTAAGAAAAGGCCATGGGAAACATGGCCTCTGAAGGAATGTGGCAGGTTCTGAATACAGCAGCTGAGGCTATGCTCAGCTCCACTCTCCACAGCCAGAGAGCTGAACAGCCCATGACCATGGCCACCAGCTGGCTGCTGGTGGTGTCCAAAATATGCCTCTTCATTTCAGAGTGAGATATCTTTGTCAGTGTCTAGGGACACGATTCGAGTCCTGGACCCAGTGGCTTGGAAAATCACACTGAGCCCATGTGCGTACATGCCCAAGATCCCAGGAGGAGAATGGAAGAGGCCATCTGTGCTGGAGGGGGGAGGATTTCTCACTTTCCCTGTCACTGTGTCTGTCTGTCATCTGTTAAGCACATGTGCCCTAAGACATAAAAAAAAAAAAAAAAAAAAAGAAAAAAACCAGTCATCAGGAAGAAAGCATAGACTTGTAAACCCATCCTTACAGAGAGTATATCTCCTGAAGCAAGCTCCCAGGGACTATTTTATCTCAATTTCTTTCACTTTCAAGAAAAAGTTATTTTAACACTTCTTTATTTAGAGCCTATAAATGCAGTGAACATACCATTGTCTCCATTTGGTGTCTGATTCATCGATGAGTCTTGAAATCAATAAAATATGGAATTTAAACCAAATATCAACTTTAAAACTTTTTTAAAGAATAATTTTATTTAACTTTATTATTATTATTATTATTATTATTATTATTATTATTACTATTGTAATTTGACCAGAGAGAGAGAGAGAGAGAGGGAAAATGAGAAAGCAAGTCACGAGGTCAGGACTTGAACCATGGTCAGTGTATGGGAGTCTACCACCTTAACCATCATGCTACCTGCCAGCCCCTCAGCGTACACATTTTTAAAGTATACCCATCTAACAGAATCAAATGCTTGTATTGACTAGACCAGAGAGTTTTCTCCTTACGCCAAGCTACTTTGGAAACTTAGTTATCTGAAGGTTGCTGAGACAGTGAGTTCATGGTCAAAAGTCTCTCTCGGCTAAGACAACTGCAGACTTACCTCCTGGACTGAACTTGCCGAAGAAAGCCTAGCAGTCAGGTCTGTCCAGGTCCGGTCCTCTCAGTCTACTGCTCAGACACACACAGCTAGTGGTTGCTTTTGACTCTGTTTTTTCTGAGTTTCTATAACTCACCAGCTCTTTCTTGCCCATACCCTATCTTGAAATATAAGTACAATATAATTGGGTCCTTTTTCATGTTTCAAAATGCTATCCCATTCCTAACTTGCTTTCCTGCAATCATATTCAATTCACCTTGACTCGTGAGAATTTCTTAGTTTATTTCCACAGATATCTTGACTTTTTTTTTTTGCTTCCTATATACTTTCATAAAGATTAGATAGAAATCCAGTACCAATATTATTTCAAATCTTGTAAACTCAGTGTGAGAAGACACACTGACACTTGTTAGTCATTTACTAACATCTTATTTCTATAAAATCAGTTCTGTAGAAGTTTCAATGGCAGTGCCTTCCCTTAGCCACATAGAATTGTGGGTTATTTGAGCAAGAATAACTTTAGATGGTTGGGTCTAAGCTCTTCATTTTATGATGGCATGCTCGACTGAAGAATGGTCCCCAAAGATACCCACATCCTAGTCCCCAGAACCTGGAAATGTCTTAAATTGCAAAGTGGACATTGCAGAAGGGACAAATTAAGAATCTTCAGATGGGGAGATACACTGGCTTATCTGGGTCTTAACTATCAGCACAAGTGTCTTTTTAAGAGACGGAAGCAAGTAGAATAAAAGGTCATAAGAGCTGGGCCACTAAACCAAGAGGTTGGAGTGATTTGGGGACAGTCAAGAGCCAAGGAATACAGGTGCTTTCAGATGCTGAAAAACAGCAAGGAAATGAATTCATCTTCACTTGAGCCTAGTGAAATCCAGCCTGCAGACTGTAAGAATACGTCTGTGTTGTTCTAAGCCACTCCATGTGTAGTAACTTGTTGCAGCAGCAATAGAAAATAGAGGCAGATTAAAGGACTCTCAGAAATGATCACCACAAGGCTCCACACTGCAACTGCAGCTGAGTGAGTCCACTGCCAAGCCCAGGATTCCCCCTCTCCACTTGGCCTTGACTTGCAAGGCAATAACACACATATGCATTAAGAAGTATACTTAGGGGACCAGCAGTTGGTGCAATGGCTATGTCGCTGGACTCCCATGTAGTCGACCATGGTTCAAGTCCCAGACCTGGTGGCTTAAACTCACGCTAGGTGCATGTGTGTGTGTGTGTGTGTGTGTGTGAGTGTGTGTGTGTGCGTGCCCAAGATCCTGAGAGGAGAATGGAGGAGAAGGGATCTGGCATGGCCATCCCCCCGGGTGGTGATTTATCACTTTCTCTCTCACTGTCTCTCTCTGACTCTCTCCAGTGGGTGCAAGTGTACTATGGCAAATACATATATATATATATATACTGCACAGTAATATAACCACGCTGCTGTTTCATACTTTTTGGTTCCTAAGTGCTTTTGTGAAGACTGGATAGAAATCCAGCACCAAGAAAGGGGACAGGAAAGCAGGGTCCTGCCAGACCTGAGATTATCTGACAGCCTGGGAGGAGTCGCAACTGGGAATGCAAGGGCCCAGGGTAGCTGGCTGAGAGGAAGACGCACCTAGGTGGTGGGTGGTTGGGTATAGCAGTTCTGTGGAGTGGGTGTGACCTGAGACAATCATGCTTGAGCAAGCACTAACGTCTCTTCTGCCCCAACCCTGCTGAGAATCCACACAGCAGTGCAGGCTGGGATCAGAGCTGGGGCTGAGGGAGGAGCAACGCAGGGCAGGAAGCCAAGTCTGGTCCTCTCCACCAGACCACACCCCTGCTTTTCCTACAGTTCTGTCCAAGGTGGACTGAGCACTGCCCACAGGGGTCCTTCAGTCTCATCAGCAAGTGACAGGTGGAGTGAGAATTCATCTTGTGGAAGTGAGACTAGACAGCAAGAAGTTGCTGCATCTCAAAGTAACTGAAAGGGAGAATTTTGAAAGTTCTCAACACGAGTCCTGACAAGTGATTGAGACGACAGGTGTGCTAAGTACCCTGAACACTTTGCATTCTGTTCTTATACTGCAAATACCTACAAATACGTGCAATTATTATACATTAACTTAAAATGTTCAAAATCGAGAACCAAGTAAGATCCTTACTAAGTGAAAGCCAGGGAGAGCTTCCTCCCACACACTGGAAATACCTTATCCTAGCGTCTGAATGTTTGTATCTCCCCAAACCCATCTATTAAAATGCTAGCCCCAGGGCGAGGATATTAGGAGGTGGTTTGGCCAGGAGGTGGAGCCCTTGTGATGGGGTTAGTGCCTTGTGAAGAACACGCATCTGTGAGGAAGCCGCCCCTCCCAGACCCTGAGTGTGCCCGTGGCTTGACCACGGGTTCCCAGCCTCTAAACTGTGGGGAAGAAAGCTCTGTGGTTTACTAACCACCCGGTAGCAGCCTCAGTGGACTGAGACTCCATGGGTAGCCTCCTTAACCTCCAGGAATATCATAGTTACAGAGACTGACGTGTTTAATGAACAAATCAGAACACCCCTGAGAGAGAAAAGGTGTGCCCTTGATGATGATGCCAAGACCACAGCTATAAATAGGAACTGTTGCCAGACAAGCTGGAAGACGTGGTCATCTGGAGTGGGAAACAGATGTCATTCCATTCCTTGACTGGAGAAGCCCAAGATGCACGAAGGGGCTTTCTAAGAACAGGGGACGTGGTCTTCCGACTGAACAGTGGCATTTTCCTGTGGCTAATTCCAGATCATCTACGTGGCCAGAAACGCCAAGGACTGCCTGGTGTCCTACTACCACTTCTCGAGGATGAATAGGATGGTGCCTGACCCCGGCACGTGGGAGGAGTATATTGAAAAATTCAAAGCTGGGAAAGGTAAGTGGGATACACTGTGGGCTCGTATTTTCTTACTCACTCACCTGCTGACGTCAGAGGGAGGTTTTCTTACATGGTGGTAGCCATCAGGGCCCTGTGAGGACATGGATGGCACACTCAGCCTGGGTCGTCTGAGGAGACTTTAATGACAAGTCTACCACAAAGCTAAGGGCAGGGTTTCAGGAAGCCAGCAGAGCTAGTGCAGTATTCTGGGGAGCACCCCCGTGGGGAGCCACTGCCACCTGGAGACAGGATGGGGCCCCAGGAAGAGCTGAGGCCTTTGCTGGGGGAGCCAGTCAGCCACGGTGAGCCAACCAAGAGGGCACTGGGAAATAAGCACACTGTCCTCCTCTCTTCCCCTCTCCAAAAGCCTCCCAGTGCTTCTGGCTGGCAAAGTCCAGCTATGAAAGCCCAAGGGTGAAGGGACCTACTGGTGCAGTCTGTGCAAGCCGACTCGAAGGCACTGAGTAGGGGCAGGCAGGTGGAGTGGGGGCAGCTGAGAGGAGATGCCCATTGACCATCACAGAAAGTAAAGGTTTCCAAACAAATATCTGCTAATTGCACAGTTTTCAGAGAAAAAAGACTTATTTTCAAAATAAGCCTGTTAAGAAACAATATTTATTGTCTAACCCTGATCTTTGCACCATGCCGTGATGCAAGGGAAGTAGAGATTATAAATCCATGGACACAAAATGATCTCTCAGTGAGTAAGAAGTACAAGGTAGAAACAAAATTTGAGGAGCCAGCAGGTGGCGTAGTGGTTAAGGTGCTGGACTCCCACATGGTCTACCGTGGTTCAAGTCCCTAATCTGGCGGCTTGAAACTCACACCAGGCACATGTGCATGTGTGTTCAAATTCCCAAGAGGAGAGGGGATTGTGGCATAGCCATTGTCCCAGGAAATGATTTCTCACTTTCTGTCTCTGTGTCTCTCTATCTCTCCAGTGAGCACATGTGCCCTATAGCAAAAAAAAAAAAAAAAAAGGAAGAAATATAAACTGAATAGGAAGTTGAAGGTAGAAGTATAAACCAAGGAACCAGATACTTTTATCATCTTCATCGCCCAAAAATAAACTGTTTTTTATTTATTTGTTTGTTTTTTGAGAGGTTTTTGCTATAGGGCAAGTGCACTTGCCAGAAAGACAGAGAGAGACAGAGAGACAGAAAGTGAAAAATCATCCCCTGGGGGTTAGCCACGCTGCAATCCCTTCTCCTCCATTCTCCTCTTGGGATCTCGGGCACACACAGCACACACACCTGGCGTGAGTTTTAAGCCACCGGGTCTAGGACTCGAACCATGGTCAACTATGTGGGAGTCCAGCAACACAGCCATTACACTAACTGCTGGTCCCCCCAAATAATGAACTGTCTTCTGCAAATAAAAATTTTGCCCAAGGTCTTTGTCTTCTGACTTCTGTCCTCTTGTCTGTGAGACATCTGTGCAGGTTTTACAGGATCTGAGTTGACCCTGACATCTCCTCTCTCCTCCCCTCAGTGCTGTGGGGCTCCTGGTATGACCACGTGAAGGGATGGTGGGATGCGAAAGACCGGCACCGCATTCTCTACCTCTTCTACGAGGACATGAAGGAGGTGAGGGGCAGGGAGGTGTCCATCACTCCTTGGATGTGACAGATCCCAGCTGGAGCCCTTGCAGGTGACCTGCCTGCAAAGAGCCCTTCATGGCTCCTTGTCTGTCTCCAGGATCCTCTCCGACTCACTTTGATCTCCAGAAGCTCTAACTACACATTGTCTTCTAAACTGTCTCTGCTTCAGCTTGCATTCTCCAGAAGATTCTTTGTCGGAAAATAGCATGTGATTTCAAATCAGCCTGTTGGATCCTGACACTTACAAGCCTGTTTTGTGACCCTATGAAAGGGAATCATGTTGGTCTCATGAGATGATTGTGAAGATTTACACATTCATCAAGTGCATACGGTTGTGTTTTAAAGTTAGCTTCCTTTTCCCCCTTCCACACACAAGCCCGTGTCACATCCCCAAGTCTAACCACACAAATGCTGGCAGGTTTGGCCCCACATACTGGAACAGAGGCTGTTTCCCCACTCTAAGTCAGTGTGTGTGAATGACCACAGATTCACAGATCCTCAGGACCAGAGGATTTAGTGCCCGAACTACAGAGCTACTTCCTATGCCAATGCTAAGCCCTCCGAAATGTAATCAGAAGCTGTAGCTCCTCCTCTTTGTGCATCTTTTTAATCAGAAAGAACCAAGGAACAAGGCTTCACGTTACCGGGTCAGCTTGAGATTGCTTTTATCCATCCGCTTACTGACCCTTAAACTCATTGGCCCCTTTTGCCATTTCTGATTGCCCCAATAGGAAGAGACTTGAAAAAGTTCATGAGGAAATAGAATTAAAGTATGAGTTTATTTTGGTACAAAACCTTTTAAATCCATGCGTAAGCTTTTCCTAATATACCATTTCCGTGAACTTTTGGAGACTATCAACTTTTTGACTCACACTGAAGTTAATCCTGAGTTAGTCACTTAGTTAAGCTTCACTGACAACCATGACATTGCCCCTCCTTTGCACCGCTTCCCTGCTCTCCCCAGAAGACATGATTGCTTATTCCCCCCAAATCTGGCACTGTCCCCAACGCAGGAAGCAGGTACTCCTTCAGCCAAAAGTTGCATTTGGTTGTACTATGTCTGTACGGCACAGTAAACCTCTGAAGGTCAGAGTCCTGTCTTTGTGTTTCTGCAGCACCTGGGGCAGGTCAGTGCCATGCACGAGTAGTCACGTAGGGCATAATTGTACAATGTCATTGACTTGATCCTTTAATTCACCTTCCCCCAAATGCTGTTTGTCTAAACAGAACATCATCCAAAGTGGAATACCCAAATTTATCTGTTTTGTGCAATTCCACCTACAGGACCCAAAGCGGGAAATTAAGAAGATCTTGAAGTTTTTGGAGAAAGATGTTCCAGAGGAAGTTCTGAACAAAATCATCTATCACACCTCCTTTGATGTAATGAAGCAAAATCCCATGGCCAACTATACCACATTGCCCACCATCATCATGGATCACTCCATCTCCCCTTTTATGAGGAAAGGTAGGTGAGGTTTATATGCTGGGCTGTTCGATTTCCTGGTAATATTTCATGCCCCATGGTTTATTCTTGCCATCAACACAACTGTGCACATTTCGAGAGGCAAGCTTCCTGTTTCCTTGCATCCATGCAGGTCAGAAGGGGGCACGCTCACTTGCCTGTACTCCTGCTCCAATCACGGTATCTTGCCTTGTTTCATTTTTTTTTTAAAGAACTATTTCACTGTGGCCCAGAATGAAGAGTTTGACAAGGACTACGAGAAGAAGATGGCAGGAAGCACCCTGACCTTCCGCACAGAGATCTGAGAGCAACTGGGGGGTCTGTTCTGGACTTCCTTACTCAGTTCTAGTCATCTGAGTCTCACAATCAGGGGTACTTACAACAAAGACACCTTCCTCCAGTCCGGAGCTGGTCCACACTACTTGTAGATTCTGTGCCACTAGGGCAATACTTGATCAAAATATAATCAAATCATAGGTAGAAAGTTTTCAGTGACGTCCCCTGATCATTCATGTAGCTGCCAACCATGTAATACACTCGGTTGCCCTGTACAAAGGCAACAGAAGTGTAACTTAACCCCACCATTTAGTGCACTGAAGTATAGCCTCCTAGGGGCAAAACGCATAAAAAGAGTGAAATAAAGAAGAGTAGGATTTTGACCAGAGGGAAAATAAGCCAGAAAAGCAGAGAGGAAGAGAAGTGAGCACTCGGGAGGCTGAAAGGAGAGCTAGTTTTTCTCAATAGTCGAAAACGGAGGCAGAAGACGGCCCAGCTCTTTGAGATCCGGCACGAGGGATGGAGCCAGTGAGCTGGGTCCAACTCAGGCAGCCTCATGTGAAGATGGTTCCACAGCAAAGAGAAATACCATGACTGGAAGGGTGCAGGTGCTGAGGGACAGAAGGAACGGACACTGGGCCCACCTCCGTGGCTAATGCAAGGCTGGAAAGCACAGGGAGGCTTGTGAGTTTATTTATTTCTTCCATGAGACAACAGAGAAAGAGCAAGAAAGAGGCACCCCTGACAGAGTCTCCACACCAGATCCACTCCCGGCCTCCGCAGCACGGCTCATGGGCAGGTGCGTGCACACATGGTGTGCTCGTGAGGCCCTTTACCTTGCCGCCTGTCCCACACAAAAATTTGAATTTCATGCATCTGGGGAAAATAACTTTTCATATTCCTTTAAAAACAGGGGCTTTGGGGCCCAGCCAGTGGCATGGTGGGTAAGGCAGCTGGATCCCACATGGCCGACCATGAGCCCTGGACTTTGTGGCTTGAAAAACATGCTGGGCTCATATGTGTGCATGCCCTAAATTCCAAAAGAATGGACGAGAAGGGACTGTGGCATGGCCATCCCCCCCAGGGAGTGATTTCTCACTTCCGCTCTTTCTCTGTAACTGTCTCTCTCAGGCAAGTTCTCATGCCCTATGGCAAAAAATAAGAGAGAGAGAGGGAGAGAGGGAGGGGAAGGGGGTGCATCAGGACCATTTCCCAGGGGGTGGTGCTTTCTCCCTTCCCTGAGTTTTTTCCCACAAGTACACATGCGCTCTGACAAATCTTTAGAAAGGATTTTTAATTTTTACCAATGTCGTCAACAAACACTACCACGTTGTCTGACTACATGCATAATTGCGTTCTGTTTCTTTTTCTTTTCATTAAAGCCTATCTCAAAAACGTCTCCGCCATCATTAATACTAGTTATGCAGAAAACCAGTTCAAAGTGGATCAAACATGTAAACCTCAGACCACAAACTATAAAACTACTGGTGGAAAACACCGGGGACCAGTGCCTTCCTGTAAAAGATTGTCAGGAAGGGACGTTTTGTGGGATGGATGATTGCCTGGAGCACTAAGTCACGTGACAGAAAATTATCTGCTCCCCCAGCGAGGAAACCAGCCCCACTTGTCTTTTTTCATCTTTCCACTTTCCAAGGTAAGCATGGGAATCGATAACCAAGGCAGACCCCCCAGGGTAGAATGTGTGCACACGCTGAGCTGCACTGAGGGAAGATACGGCGAGCTGGCCAGTGTACTGACACAGCAAATGCATTCCTACCAGTGAGCGCCACGCCTCATGGGCAGGTGTAGCCAGCACGCACGTGGCAACGCCCTCGGAGCACAATGTGTACTGAGCATACGGCGGGGTGGAGAGGTGCCCAGCCGCCCAGCCAAAGCTGCTCCTCCTTCCTTTATAAATTGGACAATTCATTTCCCTTTCATCATAAAACTGAATTTCATTCTTATGAGGCTTTAGTCACAGAAAGTGTTTCTGGATTTATCTCTTACAGCATTGTGCTATGTTCCTTTTAAACAATATTTTAATTACTACGAAGAAAAATGTTTTAATCCAATTGTAAAGCATCTTCGGTCCTAGCCCTGGCAAATTAGGGTGAAAAGGATGATCATTTATGCATCCTAGACAGTCTAACTTTCTTAATGATTGAGGTTACATTCAAAAGAACTTTTATTCTAACCACCTCTTAAATATACCACAGTAGTGGGGAAATCAAATCGTAAATGTTTATAGATAACTTACTCTAAAACCACTTTCTTAGAAGATTAAAAATGGCAACGAGAAGTTAGATTTTAAAATTTCAGGATGAGAGTGAAACAAATGGGGAAGATCACACTATTTAATGTCTCAGCTTTTGGATGAGAAGACAAAGCCCAGGGAGAGCACGGCCCCCACAGGTCACGGCCATGTGTACACTGCACTAAGAGCCCAGGGAGAGCACGTCCCCCACAGGTCACGGCCATGTCTACACTGCAGTAAGAGCCCAGGGAGAGCACGGCCCCCACAGGTCACGGCCATGTCTACACTGCAGTAAGAGCCCAGGGAGAGCACGGCCCCCACAGGTCACGGCCAAAGACATTCATTTAACATGTGAAGGGTCTTCAAAAGTTCATGGAAAGTGCATACTATAAATAAACTGTGCATAGATTTCAAATTATTTAATTTTTTAAAAAATTTTGCCTGGGGATGCAAGCAGTCATCAGAGAAAGACTGAGAGAGAGAGAGAGAGAGCGCGCAACCCTGAATGAGGTGTAGCTTTCACACACATATACCCAGAGTGTTTTTCAAGTGGGACTCAAACCATGCAGCTAGCCATGTGGGATCTGGCTTTCCTTTTTTTTTGAGAAGTTTTTGCTATAGGGCGCGTGCGCTCGCCAGACAGACAGAGAGACAGAGAGACAGAAAGTGAGAAATCACCCCCGGGGGGATGGCCACGCCGCAATCCCTTCTCCTCTGTACTCCTCTCGGGATCTTGGGCACGCATGCACACGCACCCGGCGTGAGTTTTAAGCCACCGGATCCGGGACGCGAACCACGGTCAACTACGTGGGAGTCCAGCGACATAGCCATTACGCTAACTGCTGGTCCCAAGATCTGGCTTTCTTAACCACAGGCCACAGAGCCATGGTGCACAGGCATAAGCATACCCACATGCTTTAATTCCATACATTTAATTTTATATTTTAATTTCCATGAACTTTCTGAAATATACACACACATATGCATATATAAGTATGTATGTACACACACAGAGATACTGTGTATATATATACACACACACACACATGCATATATAAGTATGTATATACACACACAGATACTGTATATATATACACACACGTACATATGCATATGTAAGTATGTATGTACACAAACAAATACTGTATATATATATATATATACACATACACATATGCATATATAAGTATGTATGTACACACACAGATACTGTATATATATACACACACGTACATATGCATATGTAAGTATGTATGTACACAAACAAATACTGTATATATATATATATATACACATACACATATGCATATATAAGTATGTATGTACACACACAGATACTGTATATATATACACACACGTACATATGCATATGTAAGTATGTATGTACACAAACAAATACTGTATATATATATATATATACACATACACATATGCATATATAAGTATGTATGTACACACACAGATACTGTATATATATACACACACGTACATATGCATATGTAAGTATGTATGTACACAAACAAATACTGTATATATATATATATATACACATACACATATGCATATATAAGTATGTATGTACACACACAGATACTGTATATATATACACACACGTACATATGCATATGTAAGTATGTATGTACACAAACAAATACTGTATATATATATATATATACACATACACATATGCATATATAAGTATGTATGTACACACACAGATACTGTATATATATACACACACGTACATATGCATATGTAAGTATGTATGTACACAAACAAATACTGTATATATATATATATATACACATACACATATGCATATATAAGTATGTATGTACACACACAGATACTGTATATATATACACACACGTACATATGCATATGTAAGTATGTATGTACACAAACAAATACTGTATATATATATATATATACACATACACATATGCATATATAAGTATGTATGTACACACACAGATACTGTATATATATACACACACGTACATATGCATATGTAAGTATGTATGTACACAAACAAATACTGTATATATATATATATATACACATACACATATGCATATATAAGTATGTATGTACACACACAGATACTGTATATATATACACACACGTACATATGCATATGTAAGTATGTATGTACACAAACAAATACTGTATATATATATATATATACACATACACATATGCATATATAAGTATGTATGTACACACACAGATACTGTATATATATACACACACGTACATATGCATATGTAAGTATGTATGTACACAAACAAATACTGTATATATATATATATATACACATACACATATGCATATATAAGTATGTATGTACACACACAGATACTGTATATATATACACACACGTACATATGCATATGTAAGTATGTATGTACACAAACAAATACTGTATATATATATATATATACACATACACATATGCATATATAAGTATGTATGTACACACACAGATACTGTATATA